TTCTTTATGTGTATGTTCTCCCTTTGTGTTGCTCTGCCTCATTCTTTTTAAATATTTTTTAAATTTTTAACTGATACATAGTAATTTGTTTTTCTGGTACCAGGAATGGAACTCAGGACCTTGGGCTTGCCAGGAAGGTACAGTGCCACTGGGCTAAATCCCTGGTAGATACATAGTAATTTGTACTTGTCTGTGTGACCTTTCAATACATGCATATAATACCTACTGATCTGATCTGGGTAACTGACGTATCCCTTACCTCAAACATTTGTAATCTCATGGGTTGCGAACATTTAAAATTCCTTCCACCAGCTATTTTGAAATACACAATTGTTGTCAACTCCAGTTGGTCCTACTGTGCTGTAGAACATTAGAAGTTAACTTCTATGCATGGAGACCTCTGGTGATTGGTTTAGGGGACTCTGAGTCCCTCTGAGTGTTGGATGGGCACTGAAATGCAGGTGGACACACCACACATGTGAGTGCGACTTGGGGTGTCGCACCTCCCTGAGGCTGATCTGTTGACCCCTTCAACCTGTGCATGGAGTGAGGGTGGGAATCACTGAAATGGATCCCAGAGGGTGGGGAAGACTGTATTGGGTGTTCTTGTTGTTGGGATGGGGAGACCCATAACCTGGGAGCCTCAGTCAGAGGCACCTGGGTCACTGCTTCCATTAAAAGACCCTCTGACTCAGGCCGGGGGCTCGTTTGTAGCACCCTCATCAGATCACCTGATGCCAGCACTGCCCAACCCCTGGGCAATGCCGCTGAGAGCCTCCTGGCCTCAAACGGGTTGGGCAGCATTCACTTCCCGGCGCTGTCCTCCCGACCTGCTCAGTCATTAGGAAATGCCTCCCTGGCCAGCACAGTGACAGCAGCAGGAGAAGATCGTGCTGCCAGCCCAGCACCTCTGGATGGCTCCCATCTGCTCTGAGGAGGCTCCAGGTAGAAAGTCGGATGCTACTGTCGTGGGTCCCAGCTGAAGTGAGTCTGGGGACTGGGTTGGGGGTGGGCAAGGAGTGTGGCAATGTCTGGGGCTGGAATGATGTAGAGGGGGTGTGTGTGTGTGTGTGTGTGTGTGTGTGTGTGTGTGTGTGTGTGTGTGTATGTGTGTGTGCGAGAGAGAGAGAGAGAGACAGACAGACAGACAGACAGACAGACAGACAGAAGGGAAGGAGCCCAGGAAGGAGAGAACGTGTGTGGTGTTTATGGGTGGGGTGGTAGACCTCGCTGACACCACAGGCTTGTATTAGAGATCTGGGAGGAAACCCTAGGTGCCTAGAAATGTCTCTGTCTCTGAATAAGGATGGTTTCCTTGGGCTGGTGACAACTGTTCTTCCTTTCCCATCCTCAAGATGGGCTGTTCCTGTGGAGGAGGCTGGACACTGGGATTTCATAAGGTCTCCTCCTTGAGCTAGCTGTCATCTTCTCCCTGCCTTACAAGTGACCAGAGGGACAACCCTGTTTCAGGCCACTCTGAGGAGGGGGGTTTGCATAGTCAATTTTCTATCCATGCTTCTTCATTTACTTCTTTAACCAGAGTCTGGAAAACCCTCCATGGAGGTCCATCCAGTACAGTAGTGGTGCAGTGTAGCCAGGCTATGTTGGGTTTAAATTCTGAGTGTGCCTCATGCTGGAAATGTGACTTGAACAAGTTACTTCACTTACACCCTGAGCCTCAGTTTCTTTATTTTTCAAATAGAGATAATACCTACCTCCCAAAGTTGTTGTCAGGATTCAATGAGGAAGGGATGCAAAATGCCAAGCACATAATTAGTGTTCAATAAATGGTTGCTGTTATAATTATTTATTATTAGCTCAACAGTAGTCCCCCTTGGTTGGGAAGAACTTCCAGTCCTCCCCAATTTCCTAAGGCACCAACAGAGATGCGTTTAGCATATAATGCCTTGTATTGAACATAGTTTGTGCCCAAACTAAAAGGTGTCCCTTGCATTTCTTCTGCTGCTGCGGGGGGGAGAAGAAAGTAGGGAGGGAGGTGACATTGTCTAGGTAAGAATGGCATGGCTCTCCTAAAGCACATAAAATTGAAAGGATTATAACAGAGAGAGGCCAGCAGTGCAGGGTCGAGATGTCTTTTGCACTCGTTAAACTCCTGTTTTCCTAGAACTCAGATGAGCAGTCAAACCTCTCCTCCAATGGGCATGGTGGCACAGGCCTGTAATCCCAGCACCTGGAAGGCTGAGGCAGGAGGATCGCCTCGTTCTAGGCCAGCCTGGGCTACACAGTGAGTTCGAGGCCTGAACTATATAGCGAGACCCTATCTCAAAAAACAAAAACAAAAATCTCTCCTCCTCCTTCCTTGCTTATTATCCCAAGGACAATCCTTCCCAAGTGGACACCCAATCTACCAACTGATCATAATAATGTTCTTTATCACCTAAAGAATTCTCTCCCTCTCCTTCTCCTGCCTCTGTCTTCCTCCTTCCCCTTCTACCTTTCCTTCCATCTCCTTCCCAAGTGACCTTGGACAAATCATTCCCTCTCTCTAGACCTGAATATACTCTTCTATAAAACTGAGATTCAACTTAATGATCACAGAAGTCCCTTCCCCCTAATATGCTCTTATCTGCTCTTATTCTTTTGCTTTCCTCGATCCCCAATTTTTAGTTATCCAAACAATTTAACCTACTGATCACCAATCTTCCTTTAAAAATATTTTTCAAAAAAATTATAAATGGGGGCCGGGGATTTAGCTCAGTGGTTCGGTGGCCTGCCTTGCAAGCACGAGGACCAGGGTTCAATCCCCGGTACCAAAAAAAAAAAAA